TCTGTGAATTTACATATTATAATAGCCCCTGTTGTGGGAACGTAAAAAGGCCGATGATGAGGGTAATGACTGTGATATCATAGTTTTAAGGTTTCGTACCAATGAGAAGAAAACGAGACGAGGCTATATCTCATAAACCGTAATAGTTGAAATTTTCACAGATAGAGTATTCCCGTTGCAGCTATAATAAATAACAACACAATAAATGTTTAAGGCGGCGACAAAAAACGTGATTTTTGCTTTTTTATAGGAAACCATTCATGCGCGAGTCTGACTCGCAATGGGCCTGTGTTTTTGTTTTTTTTTTATATTATGGAAAGTGATTTCCGAGTCTAACGTATTTTTCAGTTTGACTTCTCTGTATGAAATAAAATAGGGATAAAAATTTATTGTAGTACAGAAGATTTACTCCGCACCGATAGCATAGTATTTCGATATTCACAAATGTTTGTTAACAGTTTAGAATTAATGAGAGTTTAAATAATGTGTACGTGTTAACGAGCAAACGGCAATTGTAATAAAAATAAATAGTTTTATTTGTCTACTGCCGTAACAGTAGATATTTTTAGTGTAGAAATTATAACTTAATCCTCAAAGAAACTAATACCGTATATAACTAATACCATATAAGAATTTGTTAATTTTCAATACCAGAAAAAAAACTCTATAGCAACAAAAAGAGGAAGGCAAATTAACATAGACTGAAAAGAAACCGTTATGGAACTTATTAGAGATTCAATTATTTTTTTATTCATTCACCCCCGACGCTCAGAATTTAAACATCGAGCCCACTTTTGGCTCTAATTGGCAAATGATAATTACACGAATATGAACTTTAAGTCGTAGACTAATGACTATATTTAGAAAACAGCTATTTAGAAGGCATACTTAAATTAAAATTCATACAACGTTTGTCTCTATGAAATTTGAACGATCTATTATTACTGTTTGTGTTAAAGCTTCCTGAAATAATTATTTGCATGTACACTATTGAGAGATACTCATTTGTAAAAGATTTATTGCATAAGATTCTGGTAGAGTAACCGAGTAATTAGATTAAACTGGTGTCACATAAAGCAATACGAGGGTCAAACTGAAAGTTCTTAGAAAATCAAAAACTGATTACATTAGCCAGTTATTAGTTTTATTATATCTTTTTAAAATATTGTCCATTCACGTCAATACACCGCTGCATGCGATGGAACCACTGGGAAAAGCACTTTGCCCACTCGTCCTTAGGGGTCTCTTCAATGGCATCGCGATACGCAGCCACCGCTTCTTCAGCATTCATAAACCGCTTTCCTTTAAGTTTTTCTTTAATTTTTGGAAATAAATAAAAATCACAAGGCGCGAGGTCGGGGCTATACGGCGGGTGACCCAGTAATTCAACGTTTGATGTCGCCAAATAGTCGATCGTTCGCTTGGCGGTGTGCGACGAGGCGTTGTCGTGGTGAAGGAGGATCCTACTGCGAGGTCGTTTCTCTCGAACTTTTTCCAAGACAAGTGGCAAACAATTGGTAGTGTACCATTCTGCAGAAACTGTTTTTTGATCCTCTAACACAATTGTTGCAAAATGACCTATCCTTCCAAAGAACGAGGCCACCATTTTTTTCCCGCACTTCGATCTCTCTTCACTTTAGTTGGCAACTCCTCGAAAGGAAACACCCACTGAGCAGATTGTCTTTTGGTTTTAGGATCATAACAGTAAATCCAGCTTTCGTCACCTGTTAGTATGTCGAACACAGCATTTGAGTCACCTCCGTTAAATCTTTCAATCATTTTACGACACCAATCCACACGATGGAGTTTTTGAGCCTCAGTCAAATTATGAGGTATCCACCGGGCGCAAAGCTTCCTGACCGCTAAATGTTCGTGGAGGATTTTGTGCACTTGACTCATACCGATGCCTAAGCTTGTCCGAATCTGTTGATAGGTCACTCTTTTGTCAGTCTCTATCATACGCCGCACAACACAGATGTTATCTTCAGTCGTCGCCGTAGAAGGCCGTCCCTCACGTAAATCATCAGTGAGATTAGTGCGACCACGTTTAAACTCATTAAACCAGTTGTAAACAGTCGCACGAGATGGGGCTTCATCGTGAAAGGCCAATCGTAGTCTATCATAACTTTCTTGTTGACTTAAATGACATCGAAAGTCATAAAAAATCATTGCACGAAAATTTTCTCGTGTTAAATTCATGATGACGTGACACAGACAATTTTCAATTTGCCGCCAAATCGTAAAACAAATGACAAATGAATGAAATATATACTCAGTAATATTGGCAAAGAGTTATATTTTCAAATTTTAGAATTATTTTTTTATTATATTGTTTATAAGTGGCCAGTTCTAAGAACTTTCAGTTTGACCCTCGTACAACGATAGTTCAGATTTCATTATTTATTTTTGTTATAATGAGGGTAGTTCAGAATGGTTGAATCAAGTATTAGACGTGGAATAAGCTTATAATAGTTATATCTACAGGAGTGGCAATTCCACAAGGAAAAACCATCCTAAAATTAAAGAATAAAAAGTGAGGGTAGATTTAAATCCCAACTTTTTAAACTATTGTCCACTATCTTTATTCGCATTTAAGTAGCCCAGTGCGTCAGCTCTTTCTCTATTAAAGAATATTTTATTAAAAAGCCGTTACTCTGGTTCTTGTCCTCCAATACGCATGGTATTGTTCTTTGACCATATTTTGTACCGTACGTTTTTACTATAGTACAGCCCAAAAATTAGACGAAATTTTTGCCTATAGTTTTTTGGTATAATTAATTGATTGCAATAAGTTTTTTTATTATTGTTACCTATACGTGTGAACGGTTATATAAAATAAATTTAATGCTACTACGTCACCTTCGTTGTAAACGTTTAATTACCTACAAGCCATGGGTTACCCAACATAAGCGCTACTGAAAAAAATTGTTTGCAGAAAGGAAATAACTCATTCCATGCTAATTTGAGAATTTCAAAATGAAAATTCCGTTGGAAAATAGGTCGATAAAAACAAATTTATCCCTACACTAAATTCAGGTGGCACTTATAATTAATTATAATTTCTCTCCAAACGGGGTGCCTCGAATAAATATGATAGAACTTCATTGAATATAAGTTCTTTTAATTCATTATGACATTATTGGGAATAAAAGCTAGCAAATTTTCGAAATTTATTTATAATGTCAGTGCTACTGAATTGGAACAAAAACTACATTTTTATAAAGAAAAAAATCGTGCTAAGGTCTGTTCATAATGAAGTATTCCGTTGAACAGGCATAAGTTAGTTTGTAGTCAAATTTTATGACGTTCGATTGCAAAAACTCATTTAGCTGCTATGATAGATATGATACCTATAAGAATATTCATCGGTTGGAATAACAAACTCCAACTATAGGCCCTAAGAGTAATAAGGCTCAGCCAAAGAAGTGTTGTAATAGGTCTATATTTTCCTTAAAAGCTTTAAAATCTTAGTATAAAGAGGAGTACATGCCCTATTTATAAATATAACTAGGTCAAAAACAAAATATTGGGTGCCCATCACTTTCCGTAGTATTAAAAGAAAAGAAAACTTATTTTTTTAGCTGATATATATTATTTTATGCTGTATACATACAATTTTTGTTCAATAAGCGGACAAAATAAAAACTTTTATAAATAACAATAAGGAATAAAACGAGGTACATTATTTACAACCGCTCTCCTCTAGAGCTGATGTCTTTCTGAAGACGGGCATTAATCTTTCAATGGACTACGAGAGTTGCCGGTATAGCCCAGCCAATTCTAAGTCGAAACTAGAAAATATAATATAAAGGTGATTTTGTCACAAGAATAAACATCTTGTCAGCTCAATAAGCCATTAATTAGAAACGTCGGAACCATCATAACAGTTATTTTAGATAAAAAGGACAAAAAATAGGTTAAATTATGACGTAAAGCCTATATTTAAATTAATGGGGCGTTTTGGTGACATTAATCGGAGTATATAGTTGGGGCCACAGACGTTTTGGCGACTTTTCAAATAAAACTGGGCACACTAAATTTTCTGAAACAAATTGTTATGATCATTATTGTAAAGGTGTAAAAATTAGATAGTTCCGTTAATTAAACTATAAGAAATAATTATGTCCAATTTATTGATCACAAAGAGAGATCTTATATTAAAATGTTGACAGCGTCTAATGTATAATTATACCATAAAGCCAAAAAAAAAATTGAAATTAATTTATTCATAAATATTGTGTATAAGAGTACGTTTGATCGAAAAAATAAGCGTAAAAAATCCGTTATCACTTATTGAAGACGAATTATCTTCAAAAGATCCTTGGTGTACGTATTTTCTAGACCGCTTTCCCATTAATCTAACCTATACCTATAATCAAGCACAGAATCGAACATGTCAAAGCATGGTCAATTAATGGATGCAGTTTTATTTAAAGCACACTTTTGTCTATTCCATTTTTAAAAGTATTGTCATTTAACATTGGTAAGAATGACATACAAATTAAATAACTCTGGAAGCACTTATATATGCTTTGTGTAAAGTAAAGTTATACCTGAAAAGAAATCAGGCTTTTAATTTTATAGCATAAGTAAAGCAGAGACAATCTGCGGCAAAACAATCAAGGATTAAGACCCACATTAGCTAAATCGCAACGCAACATGATATTATTTTACGATTATCATTTACATAACTTCAGCGCGGTGTATTGGACATAATAACATCAGGCCGATTTTGATTTCGCGAACGCGAATAACGGTTATGGTATCCCTGCCGCGAGAACTTATGTTAAGGAAGTTAAGGAAACAATTGAATCGCGGCGGCAAGGGTGCCGAGCGCAACAAAGATCGCCGGCCGCGTTTACCCCGCGCTTTGTCCATCCACTGCTCAACTTCTTCAGATTTTCAACAGCTCTTTGCCGGTGGGAGTTTAACACAGAAAATAACCGCAATAAGTGATCACGGTCGCTCGATACGCGGGAACGACGGGATCGGAAACTAGCCTTCGCGCGTAGTACGGGGCGAGGATGCCGTGTCGGCGCGGTGGTGATTCCGCGTTCGCATCAGGCTGGACGCCGAAGGTGGCGAATGGTGCCTGCCGTCGAGCGGCCGCGGCGGCGCCTCCACGCTACTGCGGCACGCGCCCGGCTCGCGCTTGCCCCGCGCCACCGCGACGCATCCCCCACCCCGTACCCCGCGCCCTGCCGCACCGTCGCCCGCACGCACGCCGCATTCTTGCGTTTCGCCCGCCCTCAACAACCGCACAAAGAGCTCACTCTCGACCCTCTACGTCACATCCTCGAAACACCTTGCAGATGCCCTGCGCGTGCCCTATCGCCGAACCTCATCTCGGCACTCGATGCGCCTAAACAATGATATGAGACTGCAACTCATTACGCTGCAGCGTAATCTGGGGAAGGCTGGTGGGTCCGTCTGTCCCGCTTCTTAGTACGAGTAGCATCTGTATCGTCAACTCGAATTGAATTTTAAGAGTCAATCGATTGACACACTTTGGGATTTGTTGAAAATTAAATAGATATATAAAGACTAAGATAGTTTATGGCATATCTAGTTCAAATGTACGCCCCTTCAAATGTCATCTTGATTTATCGTTGACATTCGGGGTGCAGTTTTACTGCAGTGAAAGAATTGTGTTAGTTTATATAGATGTAACAAGTTCTGATTCGGAAGCCAATACTTTATTCTGGTATATAGCTACAGAGACCGAAGTTAATTATAATAATACATACACACTTGTTATATCTATGACTTACTGAATGTAATGGTCGTTGTATTAATGCATAATTGAATGTTTTAAATTGTACATTTGCACATATAGATCTTGTCCAAATTAGCCTTATAACAGTGTTAAAAATTAGATAATGTTATGTCCTATAATGTCTATTAGGCTTTTTATATTGATAGTAAATCAATATGGCTCCAATTACTAGTGTGGAAAATCGTTGACAGTACGTCTAGTCGAGGCGATGATATGTCGATATTGTGGACAAACAGACAAAGAACGATCGATTTTGAACCAGGAAGTTGTGAGAATGGAGTGGTTCAGAACGCTGTTGCGGCTAATTAATGATTTTTTTTTAACACCATATGTAATAGTAACAATTTTTACGTGTTGATGACTGTTTGGAATCGAACCCGTCAAAACCATGATTCATATATTTAAATCAAGTTAAGAGTAGTATTTTCTACTTAGTATTTATAGTGTTGGGGTTTGCTAACTATTTTGTTGTATACTATAATACTTAGAAAACCATAAACTTCTTAAAGGCTTTCCTAGAAAAGATGCAGTTCGTTGGCGCAGTGGTTGACGCGTAATTGGCGGCACTGGTGAATAACAGAACCAGATACACCTGAGGGGATATTCGTAGTCATGGGGCAATCCTTTGCAAGCCAACGTAAGGACAAGTTTTTACGCATCCCTTCTTTGACCGCATAGGCTGATATCCTGACCTTTAAGTGGATGGTTTATAGTCTAGGAAAAAGATAGTCAAGTACTCTGGTCTTACTCGAAATGGGTTTGGATCTGGAATCGTCACCATACTTGCACAATGAAGTTTTATCAGATAAAGCCAGGTACGCTTTGACCTTGCCGCTCGGGGCAGATTCTAGTGGCTAAAGAGCTCTGCTTCAAAGAATAAGGCATTTTCTTTACGTTAACAAGACAGTACTCAACAGACAAAATAATAGGCTGTCGATGAAACTACTGATGGAGTTTATTACTTAAAGTTACCTCTAAATTATGTATACAACTTGCACATTTTATGTGCAGTGAGTATGGCTGCGTTCAAATAATAAAATACTATAATATAACACGGTTGGCGATCTGTACTTTTTTTCAATAAACGTTATTTTTTTTTATTAACTTGTTAATCCGCGTAATCTTCTTAAAAGTTGAAAGTTTTTATTTTACGTATGAAAATAAAGATAGTGATTGTGACACTTTAGAGTGTTAGGAATACTATCAATGTATCATATGAGTGCACTAGACAGTATGAACTTTTATACTTTCAAACTTGAGCACTAATATTTACCTTGTACCTTATTACCTTGTCTTAATATGTGAAATGATGTTATTAGAGTTTTATTTAAGTAATAAAATTTTGATATGCGATGTGTTATTTTGTTTCTAAATATAACAGTGTCTAATTGAACTCAGACTATACTAAACTGTTGTTAAATATGAGAAAAGTAAACCATCTTTTTGAGTGTAGTAGACATTAAGTTAAAACTTGAATAATATAAAAATGTTCATGAGATAATAAATAAATATAATCTGTATTAAAGAAAAAGTATAAAGACAAGCTTTTACTGAAGCTAATGTAATAAAAGAAATAGAAAGAATAATTTGGTTATTTATTGGTTCACGAAGCCAAGGTTTTTAAATTCAGTTGCGAAATTTGCTAGTGGTAGCGAGAGCGTTATTAGCGACGACAATTTTAAATTCATTTTTTTGTCTTGATACTATAAAACGATAGACATGCTCTTTGTGGTAAAAAATGACCTTTTTGCGTTTTATGTGTACTTGCATATTTTATGTCCATTTTATTTTTCTTGCGGTCCCAGTGAATAAATAACTAGGTAAATATGCTTTATTCCTGGTTTGGAGTGGTTCCAGTTCCTCCTAGTGCTTGATATATCAACGTTTTTTGAATAAGCTAAATATTATTTGGGTCGACGTAAAACAAATTGAAGGAATCTACCAAACAATCACTGAAGCATTAGTAAGATCGTGAAGCCCCAATAAGCAATCGCGATATCCTACTATATTCTGTAATACCCTGTGCAAAGATGACTAAAATAATGTACATTTCATCTATAACCTTTATAGATGATGATTCAAATTATAGATGATATTCTATTACCTAATCAATAACAAAGAACTGGAAAATACTAAAGTTCACGAAGTCGAAGCTACGGCAAATGATGATAAAGTTTTTCCAGGTAAAAGTGTTTAAATATTATCAATAGTTTGCTGTGTTTTGCGTTTCCTACAAAGTGACAAAAAAAACAAAAAGAAAAAGTACAGAGATATACCGATATACCGACAGATATATATTTTTCCCCTGTTTTCCAAAAGTTAGTTTAAGGTTTCGAAACCCGTACCATTCGCAACTTTAACAACTAATTTCCATTGAACTTACGCAATTCGGCTACTCGGCTTACGCAATGTGTATCAAAATTTTGAAATATTATGCCGTGATATTAATTAATTACGTGATTTATATATGAATACCAAAAGTATTTTACTATAAAAGTTAATTGGCTGTAGAGAAGTTTTAGAAAAGAGATATAACAACCCCTACTCTACGACTTATGGTGACAGACTCTGCTTATGTTGGTTGCAGTTAACATGCGACAATGCCAACTTGCTAACAATTTTTAGATTTCGAGAAATCAGGGTTGTTTCAGCTTACCTCTGATTTAAAACCCAATCTTCCCTTTATGTATCTAATAAAAAATATATCGGTTAAGATTCATGAATATTTTTTAAAACAAAAACATTTTATTTGCCTTTTACGTAATATGGTGGGTATGGCGTGTTTTGTCTATTTGTTTCAATAGACTTCATACAACTGTGTTTTTGATGTGTGTTACTTCATAACTTTTAACTACGCGTGTTGATCTTATTTTTTTAATACTAACGCTAGTTGTCGTCGTGTGCTCTTATTTAAATTTAAGTGAAATCAGATTACAAGTTTAATTGTTATATCTAAAGTTCTAGTAAAATTTATTGAGTCTTATTAGTTTACATCCCGTTCGTCAGAAAAAATATGTTCTTTTATTAAACATCTGAAGCGCTACCACCCCGCCAATTTAGTAGTACTATTCTGTTCTAAAAATAGCCTCGAACATGATGTCGACTCAACCTACTTCAAAAGGTAACAAAGGTTTTATTTCGTTAAAGCTCTGTGCTATTTAAGCGCTGCGTTTGACATCCAGGATGGTTCGAGGTTGTTTTTTAATACATAGATTAACAATAGGTGGACGTATTTTGGGTGACAAAAAAGGGGGCAAGAACTTATCAGTTCTTCATGATGTGTTTAAAGTGAATAAACCCCACAAAAGTATGAGGTCGCTTATTAAAACGAATAAAAACAGACTATGTTACTTAAATAACTTTTAATAAATGTAATGGATATTTGTAAAATTATTCCGTTATATTATAAAACGAGGATAAAAATTATTATTGGCCGCCTAATGCAAATTTATAATATAGATCAGATAATTGTTTCAATTTGTTTTTAAAATCCTCGTTGTATAAATATTTTCTAAGTTGATTTAAAGTTGAGTAGCTCGGTGGCGTAGTGGATAAGCACCGCGGCCCGCGATCATTGTCGTTAAGCAACTTTCGCAAGGGTCGGTCACGGGATGGGTGACTCTGTGCTTCGGAAGGCACGTTAAGCCGTTGGTCTTGGCTACATTTGCAGTCGTTAATACCCTCCAATCCGCATTGGGCCAGCGTGGAGGGTCATGGCCCATCCTCCTTAACCATCCATAAGGAAGGCCTGAGCCCCTGCAGTGGGGACGTAAAAGGGTTGGTGATGTGATTTAAAAAAATATATCAGTTAGCTAAAGATTGATAAAAAGTATTGTTTATTCACTATAATTTCTCTTTTCACATACTAGCTGTCTAAACACAGCTCGTACTACAATATCACAAGCAATGTAGAGTTTTGAAACAATAATATTTCAATTCAAACGTTACATTTTATTGATTTGAATAAACCTCATTTCTTGTAATACTATTTAATTAAGCAATAATATTCGGTGGCGTAGAGGATAAGCACCGCGGCCCGCGATCGTTGTTGTTAAGCAACTTTCGCAAGGGTCGGTCACGGGATGGATGACCAAAAAATTATTATCTCGAGCTTCTCCGTGCTTCGGAAGGCACGTTAAGCCGTTGGTACCGGCTGCATTTGCAGTCGTTAATACCTCCAATCTGCATTGGGCCAGCGTGGACGGCCATGGCCCACCCTCCTTAACCATTCATAAGGAAGGCCTGAGCCCCTGCAGTGGGGACCTAAAAGGGCTGATGATGATGATGATTCTAGTGGTAAATTAAGTTTAAAATCGATTGCTACGAGTATATATAAGTATTTTATTTATGAACC